AATGCATGTAATTTATGGGAAGTGGGACAAAGTCCATTCAAACTGTAAGTCTATATTCTCCAAGTGGTGTATGTGGAAAATAGAACTTGGATGATATTCCAGAGGTAAATAAAACCAGGCTCAAAACCACTACACAAAGGAGAAGATCGATTGGAGAACACTACATATAGACCTTCTCAAATGAAGTCTTCAAGCCTCTGAACACTCCAAAGCACTGCCTGCCAGGTGGCAGAGAAAGCCTGAAATGATTTCTGAGAACTTCAGTCATGACTGTAAGTGACTGGCAGCTGTCATGGGACAGACATGGTAACACTGCATTAGGCAAGGGTAACAAAGAAGTAGAGGACATGCATAAACTCGGTCAGTTCCTGAACTAGGCTGCTTCAGTAAACTTTCCTGCATATTGCTCACACAATAACGTAATTATTTTTCAYTGTTATATTTCTTTCTAATTGGTTGAAGGTAGCATCCTTCTCATGAAATTGAGGTATGAGTGAGGAGGGCATTTATTCCCTTGCTGCATTAAGAAATTTTAGAACACACATATATTTCCTGCATATATCCTACATATACCTACTTCATCACTGCTGCCTTTTAATGTAAAAAGCAAGAGTGTAACACTTGAAAGTGGCTCATGATGTATCTTGGAGCTCAGGGAACAGTTTATGCTTTCAGAGGCTACAGTCCAAGGCTTTCTGGTCATTCCAAAACACTGCAGAATTTATGAAGCTATGGTGAAAAGCTCTASAGAACCGTCTCAAAAGCAAGGCTTTGAGTCAGCTTTTGCGTGTGAGACAGTGACATCCAGTGGTGAGTTTGGTTACTCGCAGTGATCTCTTTCCCTAACGGACAGAGAAACATCAGGACTTGTATTTAGTTTAAACACATTAATATATATAAAATATATTAAAAATATTAAAAACTATTTTCATTAGAGAAATATAAACAGTATTTTTGTTCCCTAAACAAAACTGCCATACTTTGATRCATTAATTATAAAAATGGTGTGCTCACCTGAATTGAAAATTACAGAATCATACAATGGATCACACTGGAAGGGACCACAGCGAGTCACCTCGTCCAACCTCCTTGCTCAAACAGGGTTATTCTAGAGCACATTCTACAGGATTGCATCCAGAAGGTTTAATCAAGCTTACAATAAAAGTAAATGATTAGCTGTATTTGAAGAAATAGAACATTTCCTACGATACATTTGTACTCTTTTGTCTCATTCACACAAAAAACTACTAAGCCTCTTTTTCCTGAAAATCTCAGTTCCTATAAAAATGGAGTTCAAGATCTGAGCTTATGATTCTCAATACCCACAAAACAATTCTTTGTAAACTCTTCCTCCATTTAGGATTCACAGCCACAACAGCTATGAATTTAGCTTTTTTAAAGCAGATCCTTCCTTTCAAGATCTAGCTGTTGAAAAATACTAGGCTTTCCTTCAAAGTTCTTTGTTTAGAATACACTCAAGGATGTASAATACCTCAGTTTACTGTCCTTCTGTGCTTTTCAGAGATGGGCGGGGWTTTTTATTGGAGATGGGAGATGTACGTACCTACTAAGGAAGGAAACACTGTTGAGGAAGTAACATTTAAAATCCCTTATTGCATCTGTTCTATTTTGTCTAGAATCATGAGATTCATTGGACTAAAGAGGTGAAAATACATTCCATGCTAAGAATATCATATTTCAGTGGATATAGAAAACGGGAGCACTTTAGATTCTCATTTCTGGATACTCATCTCAGTTATTTTCATAGGAAACAAAGGCCAACCTCAAACTAAACCAAGTTTCCCAGTTTATTTTTGATAATCTGTCTTTTCATAGATTCTATTTATTTCACAGTGCAACAGAACTACTTTCTACTATGATGAAGTTGCCAGGTTAATATTACTTTGTCCCTTGTAMATTTTTCCATGCAAGCTGCTACCATGTGCTGTCATGGAAAGATACAGTAAGGCAGGCTGAGGATTTGAGCCACTGCCTGCAAAATACACAGACCAGCAACAAATCACCTCTGTCTCATCTCACTCTCCAAAGGATCCAGCTGAGCAGCTACCAGCTTTGCTGTATGCACACTCGAAAATGAAACAAACAGGCTCTTTTGCAAGCAACCTAAATTCAGGTTTCCCAACTAAAAGGGATTTCATCAGTCTTAAGTATTTGGCTCTCCTTCACTTACACATACAAATTCTAAGCAGGAAAAAACAGTCTCTAAATTCATGATCTAATTATTTTTGTTTATCAGCAAGTTGGCCCATACTTAATGTTATTGCACTACCACTTCATAAATCCAGATTTATGATTAAAAAAGTCACGCTTCACTTACTGAGGGTTACTCTTACGGTTTAAGACACGTACTTTAAAAAAAAAAAAAAAAACAAAAAAAAAACCAACAAAAAACCCAAAGCAAACCAACAAACTTTGCTCTTAGTGTTTCTTAGGCAAGTTTAACTAGAGGAGAACATAGRTAAGTTTGAGTCTTGMTGAAATGTAGAAAATCGGAATATTTTTCTGACAAACACACATGCACATGAAATACAAGGTCATCCAAGACAGCCAACAAAGCTTCATTGACAAATTATGTGTGACCTACCTGGTGGCCTTCTATGATGGAGTGACTGCAATGATCAACGGGGGAAGACTGATAGGTGCCATCTACACAGACTTCTGCAAGGCCTTCGACAGCCCCACAYGTCCTCATCMCTGGAGAGACATGGATTTGGAGTGTGCACTGTTCTGTGGGTAAGAAATTGGCTGGATGGACACAAGCAGAGGATTGTAGTGAATTGCTTATGTGCAGGGGGTGGCCAGAGACAAGTGGTGCCCCTCARGGCCCTTGTCTTGGGMYTGGTGCTCTTTAACATYTTTATCAATGACATGAGATCCAGTGCACCCTCAGCAAGTTTGMAATGACACAAAGCTGAGTGGTGCAAGTCACACGAAGGAAGGGGTGTCRTTCAGAGATGTTCAGCCTGGAGAAGGCTCCAGGGATACTTTATTGCAGCTTTTCAGGGCTGAAAGGGTGCTTACAAAGAGGGAGGGACTTTCTAGAAAGGCATCCAGTGATGGGACGACAAGAGATTGGCTTTTAACTAAAAGTTAGCAATAAATTCYTCACTCAGARAAAGGTGAGGCCCTGGAAGRGGTTGCCCAGAGAAGCTGTGGATGCTRCTCCCTGGAARTTTTCAAGGCCAGGTAGGACTGGGTCTTAAGCCACCCAGTCTAGTGGGTGGAATCCCTGACCAAGGCCTGGAGATCAGAAGYAGATGATCTTCAAGGTCCCTTTCAACCCATGTTTCTGTGATGCATTGAAACCGCATTTTTGTGTTAATATTCAAAGTTGTCTCATATAACTGTTACATTTACTTATTGTAGTTCCAGGAGCCAGGGAAGGTTTTAAACCCCCAAACTCACAATTTTAAGATGCGCATCCTTCAAAAAAATGATTTTTTTTTTCTTTTTATTTGGAGCTATTTATACCTTCACATARCAATGCCTTTAGAAGACAAAAAAAACCCTGCCATCATGCTTTCTAAACCAAGTATTAGTCATCTTTTTTTCACACCCAAGACAAACTACCAAACTATTTGGAGAAAGTTTGCCTTGGATGCACTAAATAAGGCACATTGTTTTCCATTGCAAGAGACTCGTTGCTTAGCTGCTGTGAACCACCTCATTTACTGTGAATCAAATTCATAGACTTCACACTGTGGAGCCAAAGGTTACTGACAACAGGTGGTATCTCCATATGAATTGTTACAGCTTCAAGTGCATGACACTAAAACAATTGTGCACTGATATTGTTCCAGAACAGTTATCAATGGGAAAGACAGGAGCACAACATTTGTGGGGTCATGCTTAGGGCCATGTGTGAAAATTGCGCCTCTCCCCTTCCAATTGCACGAGCAAGGCTGAACTTTAACAAACCAGCCTGGGAGGACAGTATTTTATCTACATAAAATCCAAAGGGTCTGTTCCTTGGTCCTGGCGACAGCTGCCATAGTGCACCTGGCAGTCATCTAGACAGATTCTCCTCACACCTTCCCAAAAGGCACATTATTCACTAGAGCACTTGAGATTTCTCCATACGGTTGACACCACCCAACACTGCGCCAAGAATAGCAGCAGAATGATCAGACTGGGGCAACACACAAACCTGCATCTATTTACTTTGCTAATATAAAATAGCCTAGTGTTTGTAGTTCTTGATGGAGCAATGACTGGGTAAAAGAATGCCAGAGGCACAGAAAGGTAAAGAAATGGATCCAACACCAACACTTCACTGCCCTTCCAGTAAGAGCTTCACTTTCTCCCGATTTAGGACACTTGCAAACTGTATGATATGCATCTGCACTCTTCCTTAAGTCCATATCTCCACTCTTGTGAGGACTACTCAAGTAATTAAAATTAGTTTCAAAAATATTTCCTTAGCTTATAAACTTACTAGTGTTTTGCAATTCTGTACCCGAATGTTTGTCACATTAGTCTAATACCAGTGTTGTAGATCATCTTTTCGAGGTCTTAAATGACACCTATTTTAGACAGAGCTGTACATCTCCACACAGACACAACTTTTACTAAATGTGAACAGTCTCCATTGTGTTCAAACTCCTCCTCAAATGACCTTAATTCAATAAAAACACACTACCTGAAGCAAAWCTGAAGCCTTCATTTTTACCGCTAATACTAAAAAATTAGTATTTTTAATTTTCAGTTATTTCTTTTTAAAAAAGCATAAAAAGGGAACAAAATTGCACAAACATTACTTTCTTCCCTTCCTTTCTGTTCTACAAAAAACTCTCAATTTTTCATCTGGTTTTAAAAAGATGTATCTAGCAGCCTTAAAAACATGAAGTGTAAATTGAATAACTGCAGAGATAATTTTGATTTATTTACACAATCAAACYGGGAAATTTACCAAACTGGGTGTTTTTATGAGAAAAAAAGAAGGAAAAAGTCTGATTAAAAATAAATACTAATTAACATAATTTAAGATACAGTGAGTGGATAGTTTTATTTATAAAATGCCACTGGCACACAGTACACATCGGAAGTATGAAACCTGATTTATAAAGAAGTGAAATGCTTCACAGAAGCATGGATTCCTGAGGTATTCTGAATAAAATCTTTCATTTACTGTAATTCACAACACAGCTCAGTTGGCTTAAGCAGCAGCAGAGAAGAATTGATACCTAATAAGCACAGAGTAAAGATATAGTTAAAAAATACACAGGCAAATGGAAACTGGAAGATTGTGTCTAATCAATGATAACAGCCTTGGTCATGGTGGAAAACTATCTTAAACTACGGGCACAGAGACTTGTTAAGACTGGGTTTCCTAATTTCATAGCCAATTCAAATGTATTGTAGAAATCTGCTTTCACCTCGATGTCCACAGCCATGAGTTACAAAGTCCTCTTGACATCAGAAATCAAAACACTTTTGTTTCTGCATAGTCATACAAAATGATGGATTACTCGGACAGGCATTATTACAACTGAAGAAAGAAAAATAGTGTTTGGCACTTTCACTTCTTTTTCTCTTTTTCTGCTTTCCTTCTCTGCTGTAGCATCTTTAGTTCAGTCATTACATTCAAAGTTCTGTAAACCCAGGTGACCTGAAAAGTAAGTAAATTATTAAATTCAGCTAATCTACATACATTTACTTATCCATTTAATGAAAGCACCAATATGAATGAACACATACGTACCACAATTATAACAGTATTCACCAGCAGTGGCGCAGAAAATACAAGCGAAATAAACATTCCTCTTGAATCAAAGTACTGGTATTTAGAAAAGAGCCTGAAAGAAATACAATAAAAATGAGAGACAAATCTTTATTCAGTATAGTTCAAACATTCAACTTTCCCAGCAACTATTCAACATAAACACTGTACACATTGTCCTGTATCTTGGGATCACCAAGCATTCTACTGTATTGAGTCAGATAAAAGAGGCAGTCGATACTTCATCAGTTATGAATATTAACATCACTCTTCCTCTTCTTCACAGTTTTACTATCAAAAACTTACTAACATGACAAGAGTGCATCACAAATCATGCTTGCCCTGAAAAATTTGAAATTTCTTTTTTAGGTATTTTGCTTACTTGTACTAGAAAATACAACAAAAATAATAAATGTAACAAAGCTATAATTACATCATGTATGCCTGAGGTGAAACATAAAGACTTACAATTSGATGCCTGCATAAAGTGGTGTTAAACACATAACTTTCAGTCATATCAGGGAAAGACTGGTTTAGTGTTTATCAAAATAATCTATCAGTTTAATGCTGGTATACAGGTTTAGCAACACAGACAAATGTTAATGCTTTTGATACCTACAAGTAAGTATATAAAGCAGCAGTGGTATTTTTGAGAAGAGGCTCTTAACTTCAGCTATTAAACGTGAATATCAAAGAAACCGCCCCCCCCCCCCCAAAAAAAAAAACCTCTAAGTTCACATTCTTTTGGCCTTAACCACAGCACTCTGCTTTTCTCTCAGCTCGTCGATCAGTTAGTTTAGCAGCATGCACRTAAACAGATTTTGAGCAGTACAAAAAATGCACGCTATTATTATTATTTCTTATAAACTAAGTATTAACTATATTGTACTGTATCGTTTTATTCAAAAATGAAAGTGAAAACATTTACCTCCAATTCATGGCTGCTAATTCATTGATATATTCAGCGCAGTACACTAAGCCCACTATAAACAAAAGAAAAATACTAGATTCAGTATTTCTTAATAAACTGCTAATAATACATGATCTAATCCAAATCCGTGTGATCGCAAACCAAAGCTAGCAGGTCTTCYCCCAGTTAGTCATGACTACTTTGGCTAGGCAAGCTCATTGGATTCTCAGGCTGATAAACCCTGAGATAACAGAAGTTGAAACTGCAGTGTACAAGCCAGCCTTGCTCTTCCTCGTACCATTATCACGGCTGTCAGCAGGGCACATGGTGAACTTGCTTCCAAAACTAAATCTGACCATATTCATTGAACTGCAGTATTAGAACAAGGCAGAGTAGCAAGCAACTGAGTCGGTTTCTTCCCTGCTTCTCCAGTAGAGCACTTTATTGGGAAGCTGTGACATCCAGGGAAATGACCATGCAGAAACCTTATTCATCCCAGATCCTCACTAAGGCCAGAGTTTTAAGTCACTTCTTCACACATTTCTTGGAAATAACATAAGTACGTATTGATAGTCACAGCAGTTTCTCTCGCAGATAACTATCGACAGACACATGCACTGTTAGCAGAGAAACACGAACGCGTTCTCCCTGCTCAGGTGTCGGCCCCGCACGGCCCCGCGCACTCACCCATGCAGAGGAAGTGCCCCACCTGCACCCGCCGGTGCTGCAGGGACGCGCACGTCAGGAGCAAGCAGAGCAGGTGGAAAGCCGCCAGCCCCAGCAGCCAGGGCTCGGACCAGTCCGTGCTCTGCGGGCAGAGGGAACGCGGGTCAGCCAGCGGCGGGAGAGCCGGAGTCGCCGGGCGGCCACAGCGACCGAACGCGGCCGGTGTCGGTCACGGATCGCGCCCGGCAGCGCTCCCGCGCCAGGCTCGGCAAGGAGCGCCCCCCAGCCAGGGCCTCCCCCCTCCCCGCCGGACAGCCCCGCTCCCTCGCCGCCCCGCTCCCCCTCACCGCCAGCACGGCCGACAGCCCCGGCGGGCCCGGCAGCGGCGGCTCCATGGCGGCGGCGGCGGCTCTCGCGAGAGCCGCGGCTCCCCCTGCGGGGCGATGAGGGAACGGGGCGGCGGGGCCCTCATGGCCCGAGGGGAAGGGAGCGCGGTTGGTTCTGTGCTTTGGAGGACGAGCTRAGGTAGCTCCGCAGACCCCGCTGCCTCCTTCTCCCGAGGGTGGCTGACAGAAACAGCCCCGGGTTTTCGGAGCGGGGAAAGAGCTCCGTTCGCGTTTTCAGCGTTTGACGTTGGGATGCCGCCAGTGTCACCGCCTGTCTGAGCGGGCCCGCGGCACTCGGCGCTCAGGGTCGGTGGCCCAGCGCTGGAATTGGCTTTCGGTCTCCTCAGCAACACCCAGAGTTGGCTTTAACGATGGAAGTGCAGGGAGAAAAGAACCCAGCTGGGAGTTCAAAGCAAACGCCGTTGAGCACTCCAGGCAGGAACTTAGTGAAAGAAAAACACTGCTTCTCTCCGAGAAGGAGTGCCCACCGCGACCCCCACCCACCTCGAGTGGCAGCGGGGTCCGCTCCTCTCGCCACTGCAGCACAGCTCAAGGACACAGTTTTTAACTTCGGAAGTTTAAAAAAAACCTGAAACATTACAATGGAAAGACACAGATTAAACCTCTAATTTAAACCTTTTGCTAATTGCATCTAGGTTTGGAAGATTTAAGATTTACCACCTGAAGAGCATTTCAAATTCAGATTCCTAACAACTAAACCAAATCTAATCTAAAGGATTACATTTATCCATCAAGCAATACTTTAGTATATACCGCCTCATTCTTTCGTTAAGTTACTGATTTTTCTGACATCAGATGTGAAACTTTGGTTTAATTTCTTTTCCCCCAAATATTTTGAAGTGCATGTATAAGTATATATTAGATAATCTCTTMATTTAGTTTACCATATAGCCAGATACAGATCATCATTGCGACCAGAGCTCCCTTCACTGTCACACTTCTGCAATTTAGTACGAGATACCTGAAACTCAGGATTTTTAAAATTTTTGGTTTTATTTGCTTTAGGTTTTTATTAGTCTTTTTCTCAACAAAAATATATCTGGAGGTTAATCAAGGCTTTAACTTGAAATGTTGTGAAATTAAATAAGGTGAGAGAAAGGTGATCTTTTCTACTACCATTACTCTCTTTAAATCAAGACCGGAGGGGAAAAGATGTTTTGATCCCACCTTGTACATTGGAATATAAGACTGGAATAACCCCATGCAGCAATATAGGCTGGAGACTGATCTGCTGGGGAGCAGCTCCRTGGAGAAGGATCTGGGTGTCCTGCTGGACAACAAACTGTCCATGAGCCAGCAGTGTGTCCTTGTGGCCAGGAAGGCTGATGGTGTCCTGGGRTGCATTGGGAAGAGCATTGCCAGCAGGTCACAGGAGGTGATGCTGCCTTTCTGTGCAGCCCTGGTGAGGCCACATCTGGAGTGCTGTGTCCAGTTCTGGGCTCCTCAGGAMAARAGAGAYSTGGRGYACCTGGAGCAGSTCCCATGGAGGGCTACAAAAATGATTAAGWAAYTGGAATATCTCTCTTAYGAGAAAAGGTTGAAGGAACTCCCYC